GAAGGTCGAAGGCGTGGCAGGGGCTAAATGGGACAGGATTTCTGCAGCAATAAATTGGCCTCATAGGTCTTTCCAGATCAGAAATTAAACCACCAGTACTTGGCCCAGCTATCGGCCGCGGAAAAAAAATAGAGTAGAAACGTTTCTAGAGTTGGATGAATTTGGGCGCTCCTGTAGTGGCCCGTACGTTCCATAAAATTGCGTAGCGTTAACGCTACACGACTGTAGGAAGTACTGGTGGTTTAATCGCGACTAGAGCTAGATAATCCTTCGTCGTCTTGGGATTGTTGGCAGGTGTGGGCCCTGTTCTTTGGGTGTAGCATTTTTTCTAAACGAAGCCTCCAACTGGGGTTCAACTACTGTCTTCACCCGAATAGAACGCCCAGTAATTATCGTCGTATCTGGGCTGAAAGTTGTGCCAAGTACTGCTACAATGACCGGGCGTTATATTTGGGTGAAGACGGTAGGAGTCGGTTAGATATCAGGTGTTTTAAACAACCACCTCCTCATTGAACCCCAGTTGGAGGCTTCTTTTAGAATACTACGCCTGAGCAACAACAGGGGGTACACTGGGTCAAGAGTGAGGGTTGGGATTGGTCCAACTGGGTGAGCTGAGGCAGTTTCTTTGACTAAGTATAGGAGGATCCTGGACAAGAAAAACTCCCCTGCCATGATCAGGGGTACAACAGGTGGACGGACTTGAAGTAGCTCGAGGAACAGATCGGCCATTCGGTTTCGTGTTTTACGGACGTGTAAATTTACAAGGCACATCATGATATTCCTCTTCGCCCATTGATGTCCTTTTTTTTTCTTTTTTTTTTTAAGTCCAGGGTGTTGTAGAGGCCAGCTACTAGGCACACATTTGATCGCCGGGCGTGGTCAGCTGTGGAGGCACTGAGGCAGCGGGGCCACCACCCCTTCCATCCTTGCGTCAATACTCCTAACGCATCCCCTATCCCTACTATCCTACCTAAGTGTGACCTGACGTAAACCCACGAGTTATGGGGGCTAACCTTGAGGTAGGTGCCAACCAAATTGCACAACCCTGCCAAGTGTGAGTGTTATTGATGGGCTGTGAAGGTCGTAGCGTAGGGACAGGTGCCTGCAGCCTTTCCAGCATGGGCCAGGAGGGTGTCCAATAGGCGTGCGTCTCTTGGACGCAGATGGCCTCCAGCCGCTGCATAGTGAGGGAAGTCCGGCTTACTCGTGTGCCAAATCACTACCATTTTGTGCACATGAGTAGTTGCGGTCACAAGACCGTTGACATTGATGGACCTGAGATCTTACCAGTGCCTTTGCCCAAGGCGGTAGATGGACTGGCCGGTATGCATTGGGACACAGGTCGAGGCATGTGGTGGGGCGGGGAAGGGGGCGAGAGGTTGCAGACCGGGGGTCTGCTCAGCTGTGGGCATTATTGGCTGGGTTCCACTGTTGACCAACATTTGTATCCGTGGAGCTCTGCGGCTGGCACTATTGACTGATGCACTCGAGACATGGGACATCTGTGATATTTATTAAGAAGATTTTTGCCTTTGCGGAGTGCCACCTCGTTTACCCAGTCCCGAGAGGTTAGATCTGCACACCCTGTTGAGAAAAAAAAAAAAAAAAAAAAAAGAGAATTAGGATTTCAGATGAGACTCGGGCTGTTCTTTTAAAAAAAAAAAGAAAAAAAAAAAGAAACAGGACTTGAGATGAGAATCGCTTTCTGCTAGTTCTCCATAGGGAGGGGAGCTGAAGGTGGTGATGTGTTTGGTGAACCATTGGTTTCCTTCCTACGGTAATTTTTWTTTTTCATGAGGATTTCCTTTTTTTTTTTTTTTTTTTTTTTTTTTCTTTTGATAACAAACATACGCCCCTTCTATTCTCCGGGGCCTCAGTCCGGGTGTTCCATGACGATTTCCGCCTACTTTTTTTTTTTTTTTTTTTTGCAACATTTGTACCCCTTTCCACAAGGATTTCCGCCTCGAGAGAGACATGAGGCCTGTGCGGAACTGCGCTTCCCCTCTCCCACTTTGATGTCCAGTTTGATTCATCTCATCCCACCAGATCTGCGAGTGGGAGAGTTGCCCCCCTTCCAGCCTTTTTTTTTTTTTTTTTTAATACAAACAGCTCCATCTATTGGTGGGGAGCATCACCTGCTGGAAACCGGGTCCAGCGTCCTACGAGGGCCATGCCAGGGTATTGGCCACCTGCCTGTGTGAAAAAAAAAAAACCAGCAGAACGTGACCTCTGACATAGCTGTAAGAGAGTCTCCTTTTTGACACCATGCAGGCCAATCTGGTCGGTTCTGTGAAGGGGGTCCGCAAGACGTCCTCACGTGGATTTCTGGCCTCTTGTAGTCGATGTGAGACACCGTTTACGTCAATAACCGGAACTGAGGCCGTATGCTTGCAATGCACGCGTCCCGCGTCTGGAGTGTGCCGTGTCTTGCTCGTCATCGCTGGTGTCTTCAACTGATGGAGAGGAGAGGGGAGGCGATAGATGACCCATTCGTTGCTCATCCAACTATGGGCTGTGGGCCTCTTCCTCTGGAGGAAATGTCCTATGTATCGTCCTCTGCTGTTGCTGTGCTGGATGGGAGCGGGCAAATCAGCTGGCGTGGGGCGGTGCTGGCCTCTTAGTGCTGAGCCCTGACAGATTTACCTGTGTGGAGATGTCTTTGATTCCGACTTCCCGGCAGTCGATGCACTGTTGTCACAACCAGCTGGTCGCTGCTTTTTCCCTGGAGCCCTGTTGGGACACACTACCACGGATTACTCTTCCCATGACCTCTCGTACAGGGCTCATAACTCCGGGCCAGCATACATCGGTCCGGAACAGGAATCCATTAAGCGCATGAACAATAAGAGGGGAGAGGGGAGGGAGGGGGGGGCCAGGTGCCTACTATTTCCAACAGGCTATCCAAATATGGTGTTCTGGCAGCAAGCTCGGAATTTCCACGGCAGCTCATACCACCCCCCCTAGTACCCTGCTTTCGTTGAGTTCCGAATTCGCAGGAATAACAAGCGACTGCAAGTTCTGACAAAGCCCAAGGCCGAGTTATCCTAGTAAGATACGCCAATGATTTCGTTGTTCTTCACAAGGCTCGAAGAGTTGTTCAGGGCGCTCAAGGGTTCCTATCACAATGGCTCCAACCCATGGGCCTGCACTTTGTGCCTGATCAAACTCGCATAGTCACTACGGGAGAAGGATTCCATTTCTTAGCACATGGCGTTCTAGTGAGATTATGACAAAAACCGAAGAAGAAGCCCCGACTAACTCCGTGCGATTCTCTAGAACCAGGAGCTCAACTCAATTAATCAAACCAGATTAGAGAGGGTACATCGCGAGTCCAAACGTACAGCGCCACACAGAGTTGCAAGTCTTCTCCAATCAACATGAATTCCAAACCTGGCGCTCATCAGCACCAGCTGCCAAATGTCAACAACAGCGCTCAACAGGTAAGTATCACCATAACTCACACTTCCTCCTCTCTCGACTGCCTTCGTCTCTCTCTCCCTCTATGTCTGTAGTCCTGGTCTACCCTCACTCATCATGCATGCACACTCCCTATCACACGAGGATCTACTCTGAATACTACCCACTGGTGTCTCCTACTGACTATCTCTCCAAACATACTAACTGCTGCTGGCGCAGCTATGGCTGCCTTCCCTCTCGCCAGCCAGCACTCTCCCTTCCTTCTCTCATAGCGCCGCTCTTTAGCCTAGCGCAGCTCACACACATCTAGCGCACAAGTGCCACGGCACTTCCACACTCTCATGCGAAGCGAGCATCTGTCCAAATGGGAGGCTGGCCGATCCTTTATAGTGCTGGACTGGCCTGGCGTGGCCTGCATTCAGCCTCAAGCGTCCCTGGGACACCTGACCCCCCAGTACCCGTTGTTGCAAAGTGTGTGTCCCAGTATCTTTTCCCATGGTCTGCTGCTGCTTTGGGCCATCGGGCCTGTCTTTTGGACTCCTGGTCCGAATCAGGACTGGCTCGTGGGATTATGACTGGACTGGGACTGTAGTCTTTGACTCACTGACGAACAGACATGTCTTTTCATCGAGGATTCGAGGAGACATGACCCTGACCTAAACTCAGTCTTGAAAATTGTGTCCAATACCTGTTCGTTCAGGACCTGTTTGTGATTTTTCAAAATGACTTTTCAAAGTTTTCACTTCATTATGGATGCGACATTTACTTCAGGAACTTTGTCTTTTGAGTTGCTGCTCGTGAATTTAAGTTCTGGCCGACAGGACCCTTTGCTGTCGGGGCATCCATTTGGGGTCTGACTCGTAAAGGCCCTTTTATAATGCAGTCACAGGCCGCGAAATAGCAATTGTTATAATACGTAGTGATAGATGATATAGATTGGGTCCTGAGGCTTCCCAGCTGCAAACAAGGAATATATCATGTCTCAAGGAGTGCCCAACAGAACAGACATTTTGAATTGGATTGGTCCAAGAACCATCATAATCCCACTGTACAGCCTGCAGACAAAGTTATGCAGTCGTTATTTGCCCTGAATAATAAGGGACTGCCCGAACTAAATGGAGTCCTGTGCATGCGTGAAAATTGCAAATCTTCAGACGCTAGCTGACGACTATTAGAATTGATCGACAGATTTTTACTATCATTAATTAATATATATTAATTTGATTTATTATTATTATTACTTGCATCGATCAACAGATTCAAAAAAAAAAAAAAAATGCAGGCAGTCATTTGAGAGGGGGTGGGTGGAACCTAACACATCCACATGACACTGGGGCTCACCACACCACTCACCAAACACCAACATTTCAAATGTATCCGGACGAGCATACGCATTCATACTGTGCACGTTTGGTGAGTGGTGCGCCGAGCCCCATTGACGGATATGATCAACTGCTACTAATGGGGACACATTCATGCCACCAAAGAAAAGACGTAAAAAAAAAGGAGAGGAGCGGCGACGAAACAGGAAAGACAGACGCAAAAAAACGAAGAAAGGACGAGGGCCACCGCCACCAAATCCGCAAACTTATCAACTCCCATAATATCGTCAACGAAATCTGTAAAAAGAAACAGAAAATGGTAACACCACTACCGTCTTCACCCGAATAGAGCGCCCGGTAATTATCGCTGCATCTGGACCGACGGCTGTGCCAAATACAGCTATAATTACCGGGCGTTCTATTTGGGTGACGACGGTAGCTAGTACAAGATAGCATTAACAGTCACGAAAACTACGACTCGCGATCTATGATCTAATCATGATTCTATATATCATGTATAAGGTTTTAACTTTTACGCAATGATGACAGCATAGCAAGCAATGCTGTAGCAGCTGTGCTATATCCTGCAAAATTTATAGGCCCTAATAACTATAACTAAGGGGAGAGAGCAAGAGCAGGAAATGCTGTAGCAGCTGTGACACCCGCATGACTCTAATCCTTGCCCAAACCCCCACACATCAGAGACATGTCTGTTCCACTTTTGTTTCTTTTACTAATGACTCTCTCCATATCCTCCTCGTCAAACGGATCCTGGCAATTGTCCTCCCCCCCCCCCCCCTCTCCCCCCCTACATATGGTGCCATCAGTGAAGGGACCATCAAGAGTTATTAGCCTGCCTGCCTGCGAAGGCAGCCCCTCCCGAAAGAAATGTGAGTGGGGCATCACAACAACCTATGGTAGCCAGCCAATGGCATACAGCCAGACGACAATGGCATCGACATCAGAAACAGGGGAGCTTCTCTGCGGTCGCCGTGTGCTCATCTCCACTCAGCGGGACCATATGGATGCAATGTGCAATGCGCAATGTGCAATGTGCACACTTTCCTTAATTTGCTTCAGCGGCGTTCCCCCAGTCCGGCGAATTTGTTGCAAAGTCTGTCCCCATACTACTACCGCAAGCTGTGCCTGTTACTGTTCTGACAAAGCTCAGCTCCATGTCCGCGTCCAAATGTACACTACTACTATTGATCGACTTTGATTGAATTTGATTCCAACTGTTTTTTGCCTGCAGAGGAATGTGTGACTCACACACAAAGCTCACAGCAACTCGGTTCTGTACACCGCATTCCCAAAGAGTGCTTCCTGGAGGTTCTCACGCCGAACTACACGCTGTAGCCTGAGCCTTGAGGCAGGCAGACAAGTGATTTTTACATCGACTCTGCGAACTGGCGATTCGCAATGTTCACAGCTAAGAGCTAACATGATGTTCGTTATGTATAGAAAAACGTTGCACAGACTGTGATTTCCCCAGCTGAGATGCTTCCTGCGCGTCCACCAAGGGGTTCAAATATTGGCCCTTGAGGTTGACGTGTGACATCTGCGAGTGACCACCTTGAAGACCTACTTACATGGCACACACCATGCTGCTGCTGCTGCTGCTGTACTGGATGTCAATTACACGTCCGTCCAATGTTGGATGTTTGACGCGCACTCAACTACATAGACATCAACAACAAACTCTCGCGCATAACAGTCTTGTTTGAATCTGACCATGAATGGACCCTAAGGTTCCAAATTTCCAATCATTCCACTAGAATGACAGGCAGTGCATCCATCTTCCCATGCATCCATGTACTGAGTCGCCGAGCAGGCCCGCTCACAAGAAGTGTGAGACCACCATGCACCACCTACCCCCACTCTTATCATCATCATCATCATCATCATCCTCTCTCTCTCTCTCTCTCTCTCTCTCTCTCTCTCTCTCTCTCTCCCCCCCCCCCCCCCCCCCCCCCCCCCCCCCCCCCCCCCCCCCCCCACACACACACACACGGCAAATCATATATACTACACGTCTTGTTTTGCTGGAGCAACGGCCCCGCGAGGCCACTCCCAGCATCCTCTCTCCCACATTGGTCCCTTGCCAGCGATTACTTGCTCCTCCTTCATCACTCTCAGGCAGATCGCATAATGTTTTCATTCCTACTGCTGAGACCAATCTTTTTTTCTCTATGAAAAACACAACCCATCATCGTCGACGAGAACAAAGGAACCGTATTATCAGATGTAGCTTAGGCTTTGTTCAGCAACCAGATTCCACCAAGGCTCACCTGTGCCCAGTGACGATAGCGTCAGAAGTAAAACCAGAGCGGTCACCAGCAAACGGAGTACCAGCTGCGGAGGGGCCCGCTGCATCCACGTAGCCAGATCAAATGTCGCCATTGGCTCACTGGCTACATTCATTCCACTACTGTCTACAAAGTTCTCATCCCTGGTGCAAACTGCTGTGGAACTTGCAATCCCTTCCATTGACATCACACTTTGTTCACGACGATCGGGGGTTGATATGATGGCATCAGAGCTCTGTGGCACGGCAGTACTCAGCCCCCTCTCGCTAAAGCTCAGTCCCATCCTCATGCGTTCAATCACGCTACGAACCATCTTTCCGCCACTGAATGGCGTTTCTCTGGCAACCACACTCTCTAACTCAGGCTCTGCTTCACTCCCTACACCACGGCCTTCACAATCATTTTCGGAAACGTGACCTTTTTCGTCCTCTGGTAGCGACAGCTGTCCTGGAATTTCCTCCACCTTCACGTGCAAGCATCGCTGGCATTCGCACTTACCGCCCAGGTCACTTGGAACATGTTCGATACCCCCAAAACATTCTTCGAGTACTGCCGATGCTTCTGCGCCTGCAATTCTGATCTTCCGCGATGTCCTCTCGCCTAAGACCTGCCACAGGGCATTCACAGCATGACCAGTTTCCTTTCAGAGGACATCAACAATGGCATCTCTGTCAACGCACAATGAAGGGAGAGATCCGAGGGGACCACCCCCTGGATTGCAACTGCTGCTTGAAACGTCGTGAGCAAAAGATGCGAGGGCAACAACAACAACAACTTCTGGGCCCACGTTTTCCAAATAAATAGTTAATGTTGGCAAAGAGTCAAAGGGAGAAGAAGCTTCAACTCACCAGCTTTACAGATGCAACAAGACTCCGCAACACCATTTGTAGGTTGATAAGATAGAATTGAGCGAGGCGTGTCGGGTAGTTCTGCTGAAGCATGAGCGCTGCATTCTTGATGAGGCTCACAGGTGCATTAAACAGCCCCACTCCTCCGCAGTCCATGACGACACTAAACTGCTCCACTTCGAAGTCCTGGAGAAGCTGGGTCACTCCATACTCAGTCTGTGAAACTGTAAGACAAAGCCATCAAAAGCAATGATATCGTCAAATGGACGATCCAAGCAAGGTTAGTCAGTGATAGTCACAGTGCCTGGTCAAAGGATTTGAACGTGCGACCACTCACACAGCATCTCCGCTGTGCCTTTGTTAAATCCAAATCTGCAATGACCGGCACAAATCGCTGTCTGAGAATCTGCGATGTCTCCAACTTCAGAGAACATGCTGTTCTGTCAGAGAATTGAACTTGCGCGCACTCAAAAAAAAAAAGGAAAAAAAAAAAAGAAAGAAAGAACTTGCGACCACTCACGCAGCATCTCCCCTGTGCCTTTGATAAATCCCAATCCGCAATGACCCGCACAACTCGCTGTCTGAGAATCTGAGATGTCTCCAACTTCAGAGAAAATGCTGTTCTGTCAGAGAATTGCACTTGCGTCCACTCGGCAAGGAAAATGAATGATAGCGAAATGACAGAAATCCAGAGTGCAAAACCAAATTGAAAGCCAGCAAGTCCAATGCTGTCCAGAAAGCAGAAATGCACTGATATTCCACCAACGGAGAACCAAAGCACTGAATCCGAATGTCAATGAGAGCATACTCTCGCCACCACCAACATATGTATCCAGAGTCCTTCCTCCTACTTGGCGCTCAGCGCCCAGACTACCATCACACAGCTACTAGCAGCCTACGAATTGACAATGCATCCTGTTGACGTCAGCAGCAACAACCGAAGTACATCATGAAGATGTCAACCTTGTAGACCATCATCGCCAAGACCAGGTACGTGCCCTCGCATCATCGACCTCATCTCTCTCTCTCACACACCCTTGACTTCATCACCCACGTCTTCTTCCTCATACGCGAAGACCACCACTACCTCCACTGGCTATGTTCAAGCCAAGCCCGGCTATCGGGGCTGGCTGTGACGCTGCCCTCAGCAGCGCCCTACACCCTGCACGTCCATGCATGCACACACCACCAGCGCTAGCACAGCAAACAGCCCGTGAGCGTTCGCTCCAGCAGCACTGCTGCCCGCAAATGCAAGTGCGCGAATGTCCTCACCTCGGCTAGGCACTTTGTTGTATGCAAAGTGGCCTGGCTAGTCGGCTGCCTGGCCTGCCTCGCGTGTGCCCCGTAGCTTCAGGTTGCGCCAAGGTGAGGCCTGTTCGGACAGCGGCCTGGGACCGAATTGGTTAGGCATGCCCAACCACCCAGGCACAAACGTGCGGTGTTCCGTGCTTCGACCATGTTGCTGGAAGAGCCTAGAAGGCTCGCGCATTTCCGATTCTCACAAGCAAAGCAAATGTAACCAACTGGTGCGTGGCAACTGTCTGGTGCCCACCGTGCTTTGCAAAAATTGATGAATTCAGGGCACATTGAGAGTCAGGGGGGCCACCTTCACTTAGGGCAGGCACCTGCTGCAGGGCCTTATGCCGAGGGGCAGACCCTCGCACTCCCTCCTTTTTAACTTTGATAGTCCTCTGAGAAGTTGTTACACAGCAGGCTGCTTCCCTTTCAAATTTCATTCGTAACTTGAGATAATTTGGGGAGCAGTCTTCATTAACTCTTCTCTTGTGAACCACCAATCTTCTTTAGGATCAGTATGGTGTCTGAACCATCCCCTGCCTGGAGGCTTGGGTACAGGCATCAGCTTGTGCTCGACAATGTTATCAATATCCACATGTTCGTCCATGGTTGGGGGCAGCATCGATCTTCTTGAGGGAAACTGATCAGTTTCAGCGAAGGGTGCCAACTTAGATGCATGGAAAACAGGGTGTGTACGGAGGTGACCAGGGATGCGAATAACATATTGCAATGACTTGCTATTTTCTGGTCGCCTGTAGCCTCTCTCTGTCGAGGCTGTACTATAGGTAGGACAGATTCATAATTTTGTTTGGCTGAGGGCTAACCGAGAAACCTGCCTGCGAGGGAAATCGCGAGGGACATATCTGCAAATATGGGAAAATGCAGGCCCGGTACTAACTGGATTCCCTACAGCTACCCTAACTGCGAATAGCAGGCCGGGGGTTCTCGAACCAGCTCCGATACCAAATTGCAAGGAAAATGAACGATAGCGAAATGACAGATATCCAGAGTGCAAAATCACATTGAAAGCCAGCAAGTCCAACGCTGTCCAGACAGCAAAAATGCACTGATATTCCACCAACAGAAAACCAAAGCACTGAATCCAGATGTTAATGAGAGCATACTCTCACCACCAACAACATATGTATCCAAAGTCCTTCCTCCCACTTGGCGCTCAGCGCCCAGACTACAATCACACAGCTACTATCAACCTACAAATTGACAATGCATCCTGTTGACATCAGCCGCAACAACTGAAGTACATAAAGATTGTCGACCTTGTAGACCATCGTCAAGACCAGGTACGTGGCCTCACATCATCGACCTCGTCTCTCTCTCTCTCACCCTTGACTCCATCACCCACGTCTTCTTCCTCATACACGAAGACCACCACCACCTCCACTGGCTATGTCCAAGCCAAGCCGAACTATGAGGACTGGCTATGGCGCTGCCCTCAGTAGCGCCTTACACCCTGCACGTCTGCGCGTGCACACAGCAGGAGCGCTAGCGCAGCAAGCAGCCAGCGAGCATTCGCTCCAGCAACACCACCCGCAAATGCAAGTGCCCGAATGTCCTGACCTCGGCCAGGCACTTTGCTATATTCAAAGTGGCCTGGCTGGTTGGCTGCCTGGCCTGCCTCGCCTGTGCCCCATAGCTTCAGGTTGGGCCAAAGTGTCGGCGCCCAGGCCCGTTCAGACAGCGGCCTGGGACCAAATTGGTTAGGCATGCCCAACCACCCAGGCACAAACGTGCGGTGTTCCCTGCTTCAACCACGTTCTTGGAAGAGCCTCGAAGGCTTGCACATATTTCCGATTCTCACGAGCAAAGCGGATGTAACCAACTGGCGCGCGGCAAATGTCTGGCGCCCACCAAGATATGCAAAAATTGACGAATTCAGGGGGCCCGGAGGGCACACGCGCCTGCTGCAGGGCCTTATGCCGACAGGCAGACGCCTAGCAACTCAAAAAAAAAAGGGAAAAAAAAGAAAAAAAAAGAAAAGAAAGAAAGAACTTGCGACCACTCACACAGCATCTCCCCTGCCTTTGATAAATACAAATCCTCAATGACCCGCACAAATCGCTACGTGAGAATCTGAGATGTCTCCAACTTCAGAGAATATGCGGTTTTGTCCTTCGGCTCTGAGATGTCTCCAACTTCAAAGAAGATCTTGCGACCACTCACACAGCATCGCCTCTGACTTCGATAAATCCAAATCCGCAATGACCCGCACAACTCGCTGTCTGAGAATCTGAGATGTCTCCACACTCTGAAAAAATGCCGTTCTGTCAGAGAATTGACCTTGCGACCAGTCACACGGCATCTCCTCTGACTTCTACAAATCCACGTCGGCAATGGCCCGGACAACTCGCTTTCTGAGAAACTGAGATATCTCCCAAGTTCTGAGAAAATGCTGTTCTTTCGATCTGTTGTCTAAGATTCCTAAGTCCGAGTCTATTCTACTGTGATTTTGCTTTGTTTCTAAGTATGCAGGTGATCCGCCGCTGACGTGTGCATGATGTGTGCATGCCGGATTCCAAGTCTGGGTCAGTCAGTGTGGCAACTCTGTTGGCCGTGTTGTGTGCCTGTGACTCGGACAGGGACAGGATAGCAATGAGGAGACCGCCAGGGGCATGACAGAAAAGTAAGTGGTAAGAGAGATTTGGGGTATCGTACCGCCCAGAGACATAAGTAGAGCTTGATAGAGGCCCGGTAGGGATTTTCCGGCAAGTTGGATGGGCCTGGAAGGATCCGATTCCTGTAGGTTTCTTCACACCTCACATGCATGTAAACAGGTAGCGCAGCAACTGGCGACAAGCGCCCACTCAAAACTTAGAGATATGGTAACCAGACCACCTCGCACAAGTCGATGTGGCAGTGCCTCCGCATGGCTTACGCAGGAATGAATGAATGGCTGGGCGCTGCCTCTTGATTTATACTTTTTCAACTCATTGGTCTGCCCCTTCCCATGCCCGTGGTGCACACAGTCCCATACGGTACTTGCTGGACTGGACTAGGACTGACTGGGACAGGTACCGCTGACTCAGCACAGGTGGACTCCACCACTTGCCCACTTGCCGCTGGACGACCGTGAGCAACTGTGAAGGGCCACTTCCAAAGCTTCCGGAAGTCTGTAGTCTTGGCCCTTCGTCGCTGTAGCAGCTACGACCATGACCCTTCAGGACTGTAGCAGCTACGACCTTGACCTTTTAGGAATCCTACAGCTACGACTTCTAGAACTCACTAAGACTTCTATTCGACAGGTCTACAGATCGAACCCCTACAACCTACGGACCCTACGACAGTCTACCAACTGTTACGAATACACAGGTCACGGGTTCAACTCTCGGGGTCGACACAGGTAGTGTACACAGGTAAGCCCTGGGATCTGCATCTACTGTGAACAGGTGAATACCGTTTCACTCCCGCCGACCTAAATTCGAGGTCCTCCGAGAATAGCTCAGTCCAAGGCAGGACCTTTACCCTTCTTTTCTCTTTCGTAAGCTCTAACTAAGTCGGGAGCTGTTTCTAGAAGTTCAGCTCTAGAAAACCAGCGGTCGTCCTCGGGTTCCTGATGAGCACATCTGACTTTACACTGTTTCTGTGGGCGACCTCTACCTCCTGTTCTGAATACATCTTCATTGTAGAAAACCAGCGGTCGTCCTCGGGTTCNAAAACCAGCGGTCGTCCTCGGGTTCCTGATAAGCACATCTGACTTTACACTGTTTCTGTGGGCGACCTCTACCTCCTGTTCTGAATACATCTTCACCTACAATGCCCTCAATGTCATATCTTCCATCCATGTCCGGAGGGGTCATGGATCTTCTTGACGGAAATTGTTAACTTGCGACACACGGCAACAACTTCGACGCATGGAACACAGGGTAGGTGTGGAGGTGTGCTGGGATCTCTATCGTATAGGACGGCCCAT